ACATTAAATACAACTTCAGCCATTACATTAACATGGAGTCCACCAACTGCTGTAGTACCAATTAGTTATAGTATTAATAGGAGATGTAGGAGATTATGCAAATCATCAGTCACCAGTACTAGTGAAACATCAGTTTCATCACCACATACTTCAACTGGCATACCTTCTTACAGTCAATGTGGCTTTGATCTTATTGGAGTATATGGAGCTGAGATAGCTTATTTGACTACTAATTATTTAGCTATTACACTATCAACTGGTAAGAGAACATTATAGCAATGTTTATAGTCATTACTTTGTATAGCCCCTACTGCACCAGTGGGTGATATTATATTCTCATCAGTAGAGTCAGTGTCAATGACTGTCTCATGGGATGAAGTACCTTGCAATGGAAGGAATGGACCAATCACTGGATACTACCTCACATACACTAACATCACTTCAAACACTAGTTATACTGTTAATATCACTGGAGGAGACAACAGAATATATAATCTCACAGGATTAATACCATATACTAACTATACTGTGAGTATAATGCCTTATAATTATAATATGACTGGACCAGCTAGACAAGAAATGCAAATAACTGCTAAATCAAGTAAGTCAATAAAATATTGATCAGTTTAAAGGGATTTGACACAGTTTCTAGGCCTGTTGTGATAGCTGATCTGATAGTACATGCAAGGACACCAACTAAAATAAATATTGTATGGTATCCTCCTACAATACCTAATGGTATCATTATAGTATATGAGATAAGATATAGAGGGTCTACCAGTACTGGTCCATACAATATAACTAACACTACTAACACTTATTACAGTATAGTAGGATTGATGCCTAATACTAGTTATACTATTGGAGTGAGAGCATATACTAGTATTGGACCAAGAGAATGGACTAATAGAGACTATACTACTGCTAAAATACGTAAGTGATTTGATGTTACTTTAATTCTTATTAATTATATAGCTGTCATTGAAATCTTTTCTATAACAAAGCTCAATTTTACAGCAGTGAGGGCTGAGTGGGGTTCAGTTCCTGAAGCTAGTCTTTATACCATCTATTATGAATCAACTAGTAGCTCCTCAAGAAAGAAGAGACAAGTAGAGACAGGAATGAGAATATTCCCAGGTGATACTACTGAAGGTCTAATAGGAGGATTAGATCCTAATCTGAACTACTTGTTCTCTATATCTACATCATTTAATGTTAATGGAATCGTTTATGAAGGAGAGAGGACTCAACCAATACCAGGTACATGAGAAAAAATTTACTACTGTATAATAATTGCATGTAATTAGGTGTCACTCTAACTTCTACTGTAGCATCAAGCACTTCAATAGTATCAACTTCACAAACTTCAGGTAAGTAACTAGTGATTATTAATCACACAATAGTCATATTGTACAGGTGCTCTATTACTAGTATTTCTAGTTCTAATTCACCTTATTTAGGTGTTACTCTAAATCCTACTATTGTATCAAGCACTTTATCAATCATTACTGTTACAGGATCATTAACAAGTAAGACAGT